GGAGGGACATTGAGGTGCTGGAGCAGTAGAACTTTCTCCTTTGGAATTCACATTTTGGAAGTGTACAGAGCAAGAAGAAATCCCAGTACACACAGACTTCACCCCTCTAACCACTCCCAGTGCAATAAGCAGCTCTAAAATGGAGTGGAGAAGGATTAAACAGGTGCCTGAAACTGGACAACTTGTACTTGTGGCTAAACAACAACAAAACTCGGGAGAAACAACTCCCACTGTCGCTGCCACCTGCACCTGCATAAACAGGATTAGTCACTTTCCAAAGGAAACTATTTGCAGCTTCAAAGGTCACTTGAATAACCCAAAACTGTCTCTTTCCTAGAGGAGAAGTTCAATCCTCACTACAGGCAGTTTTCTGGATAGTACAAAATTTGCACAGCTCCTGCTTTCCCCTCTGCCATAAGTAAGGAAGAGCAGGAAAAGGTCACTGTGGAAGGACTAAACTCCTGTTGTGGATGTGAGACAAGATGAGAAGCTTCTGGTCCCTCTTGGCCTGCTGTTATGCAAGGCCAGGAGAGATGAAAATCACCGGAGGTACACGTGGTCACCTTCCTAAAGATGTGCCTTGGATAAAAATAGAGCAGAAATGGATAAACAAATGCTAATTGCCTTGGGGGTTTGGCTCTTGTGCCTTTGAATACTGTCCATTTCTCCCTTCAGCTCTTCATTTCCTCCCTCTCTCCTTCTCCTGAGGTGGAAATTTAAGAGCTTGATGCACTCCAACCCTGTGCCTACTTGACTTCTTTAATCTTTCCTGCCCACTCACTGCTATCCTTAAATATTAACACTCCCATGGCTATTGGAATAATACTAACACTTAAGCTCCATTTCCTCCTAGCCCTTAGGATAAACATAACATCCAGAGATTACATTTGGGGATATGAATGTAGCATTTAGCTCTCCTGAATCAGTCTGGGGGTTTATAATTTGATCTTGAAAGGTTCCTGAAGGTTCTTCCCAGAGCAGGAACTTGGATTTTGAGGGATGAGGAAAGAAACATCAGTGTGCAAGTGAGCAAGAAATATAAGCCTTGACTGCTTGAAACTCAAGTGAAGCCACTTGAGGGTATGAAAGTAATTAAACTAGTTCTTCCAAGTGCCTCTTTTTATTACCATGTTTCGGAGTTTACCAGTTGGAAACTGGAGGAAATGAAACAAAATAACCTGCAGAGCCTTAAAAACTCTGCTAGATGTGGATGTTGCATGTGTCAAGCAGCACAAGAGCTTCTGCTATCCTAGCAGAAAGAAACACTTACAAATGAAGTGACTCTAACTGCTCGTGGCACTCCTGATTGACACGAGTGTTCTGAGCACTCTCTGCAAGGTTCTCCTCTCAGAGTTATGAAATTACTGAGGATTTTGAAGCTGCAATAAGTCTCTCTTGCTTTAATGATGATTCTGAAGCTGCACCAAGCCCCTCTTGCTTTAATGAAGATTTTAAAGCTCCACTAAGTCTCTCTTGCTTTAACGACACAAATTTGACGCTGTCCATTCAAGTGTTATTTGGGGAACAAACAGCAAAATTGCTGTTTCCCAAACACCTTCCATGACCTCCATCCCAAACCAGTGAGCTTTAAATCCAATCTGAAGCCAAGACAGCACAATACTGACCTTCCCAAGCCTGCAACACAGTGCACAGCCACACAGCATCCAGGCTCCTCGCGGAATTTGGTTTTCAAGAGGTTTAACCAGTCGTCAACTATCTGATTTGGGGGTGGTGCTCCATCATCAAAGGGCCAGTCCTGGGGAGGGAAGCAATTCCATCAGCTACAGGCAGTGAAATCCATAACCAACAGCAAGGGAACCCCCACTGGGATCCATCAGCACTGGGCTCAGGAAGAAGTGCATCCCTCTCTCACACACACACAGTTCTGTGAGGATATTTCTGGCTGCACAGGAGTTTGTAAGTCAATACCATAATGCAACATTAAATGTTTAACAACCATTTCATTGCACTTTTCAATAAAGCTCTAAACTAACTCCTTTGCAGGAGAGAGTTTTGAGAAAAAATTGCTGCCTTTGGAATCTCAGTTTATTAAAAAGATGTAAAAATCAATAGGCATTTCAAACAAACATGGGAAGGATGAGGACTCTGTGGGCTGTGCCTGTGGTTCTGTCAACCTCTTTAAAGTACTATTTGTACTTCAGACTCTGCAGAGATGATGGTCAGGACAATTAGGAGGAGCAACACTTCCTAACAGCTCAGATGGATCTCTCATCCTCTAGTTCAGGCTCTCAGATGGATTCTCTGATCCTCTGTTTCAGCCCCTCATGGATCTCTGATCCCCTAATTCAGCCCCTCATGGATCTCTGATCCCCTAATTCAGGCCTGTGGTTCTGTCAACCTCTTTAAAGTACTATTTGTACTTCAGACTCTGCAGAGATGATGGTCAGGACAATTAGGAGGAGCAACACTTCCTAACAGCTCAGATGGATCTCTCATCCTCTAGTTCAGGCTCTCAGATGGATTCTCTGATCCTCTGTTTCAGCCCCTCATGGATCTCTGATCCCCTAGCTCAGCCCCAAGCACATCCCATGCTTGATAACCTCCCTAGACACAGAGCACTCTCCTGCTGGAGACAGAGCACTCCTGGATTTAAGGGGAAAGACTATATTTAGTAGTTATTTGGCACTTTTCTCTAGATGACTGTGATGCATTTTACAAGAAAAACTCCTAGCCAGAATTCCATATTATTCCCCAACCTCTCCAAATGGAAGGAAATTGCTTTGATAGGAGCCTTCCTCCCTCATCAGCCAGAAAACAAGTCTTACATGTAGTACCTTGAGAACAGGTTATGATGAAATAACATCCTCTGAAGCCCCCGAGAATCAGGCAGAAAGGCTGAACAAGTACAAGCAAAGGTAAAATCCAGCAGACTTTTCATTTTGAAATGCACTTATTGCTGCTCTAACACTTCCTGAATAGCAAACACAGCTCAGCACAGCCCTAGAGCACCTTAGAAATGTGTTGGTACTTACAGCTTCAAGGGAGAAATGTGTCTCAGAACTACAAAACCAAAAACCTTTTAAGGTACTGAAATAAGTTGCTACGTGATTAATTCAGAAAGACACACAAAGTCTGAAGAGTGCAGAGAAAAAGTGGAAAATTAAAAAAATATCTGAGGCAGTGCAGCAAAATAAAAAGCTGCAGAAATAAGATCACAAAGTAAAAGTTGTTCTTCCTAATAAAAGCCTTTTATGAGATGTTTCCACTCAATCCCACACTGCTGGGGGATTATTTTCAGCCTAGTGTCACCCTCTGTGTCCCAGGAAGAGAGGGACAGGTTGCCAAGATGCTTCCATTCAAAGACAACAGGATTTTCCATGCCCTGTGTTCAAATTCCAGGTGAATTAAATCCTTTCCTTCAGACTAAACACATTGCTTGAGCTCCCACGTGAACCACTATGCCCACACAACTCTGTGCTGGCCTGAATCAACCCCAAGTGCCACTTCCCACAGAGCATCACCTGCTCAGCAACAGCACATGGAAGCAGCACTGGTGAACCACTGCCCAGAGTGAGAAGCAATGGGGCTATTAATCACAGTGAAGTTTGTAGTGGGTTTTTTTTTCACCTGTGAATTCCTGTTGAACAGGACAGAAACCCAATTGCAAAGCTCCAGGATGAAAACAGTCATCAATAACCAGAAGGAGATTGCACCAACAGAAAACACAGCTCTGCTGTGCCACCCTGCAGCAGAGGGAAGGAGGAATGGGTTCTCCTTATTTTCTGTTCTCTAATCACAGTGAAGTTTGTAGTGGGTTTTTTTTTCACCTGTGAATTCCTGTTGAACAGGACAGAAACCCAATTGCAAAGCTCCAGGATGAAAACAGTCATCAATAACCAGAAGGAGATTGCACCAACAGAAAACACAGCTCTGCTGTGCCACCCTGCAGCAGAGGGAAGGAGGAATGGGTTCTCCTTATTTTCTGTTCTCTGGAGCAGCTTTGCTGAGCATCACAGCTCTGAGCCTGTCCTGGCTGCAGGACAGAGCTGGCCAAGAAGAAGTGACAGAACTTTATGGTGACAAAGAACCTTTTCTTCAACCCCCTGTGTCAGGAACTCCCAGCACTGCCTGAATCTGTGCAGGATGAGACTACAGTGGGCCCTTCTATCCCAGAATCCCATGGCAATGAATCCTATATCCAACAGACACTCCTGCCTGCAGCACTCAGAGTGTAAGGAAAGTCTGATAAACCAAGGACTAACAGAAGGAGAAAAATGAACTGTGTCTTGGATCCTGAGGATGAACCAGCACAGCCTCCCTGCTCGTCAGGCAGTGCAAAAACACTTCCAGAAAAGCCCTCCCAGTCTTCCTGCTGGAACACTCCTGTTACAAGACCTGACACAGGAACACAACCAAGAACTGCAAGAACCCCCAGGAACTAAATCCATTCCCTCCTCCTGGGTTTAATCTCTGTGGATAGACACATGCATGCAGTAGTATCATCTCATCCAGGGAGCAACTAATTCCCAACTTTCCCACTATGCCACTTGTCAGAGAGCTCTGGAGCTGCCACATTCTACCCATCTTGTCAGTATCTGACCCAGTACCCTGTAATGGGAGCAGCTTTGCCCAAATGCTCCCAGTTCCAGGGATTCCACTCTGCTTTTGACCTCAGCAGTGTTCAAACACACGCTAATCTCTCTCAGGCTGTTTTTAATCTTAATGTTATTTTTAAGAGCAAATATTAGCTTTAAATAGAGATGTGTTATTTTCTCAGCCAGAGGTAATTCAATCCCATTTCTCAGCAGCACCAGGACTGTGCTTTGAAAAAGCAGGAATTCCTGGGGAGGAAGAGCTCCCTGGGAGTTGGTCATGTCAGGGAGTTGTTAAGCTTATCTCAAATAGCAAAACACTGCTGCAATACAGTAAATGACTCAGACAACCTCCTGACTGGGATCAGCAGGATCAGCAGTGACATTAGCAGGAACCTTCCCTGTCACCTCCTGCTCTCTGTTTCCCTGAGCCAATGCCTGGTGGATTTATCTCCCTCCTGGAGCAGTGGAACACTAAGCACTGCTCCATACAAATGTGGAGAGGCTCCTTGGCTCAGGGAAACGTGGACAGACACGAGAGCCTCACATGTGCTGCTCCAAGGGAAAGGCTCCACCACACAGCAGAGCTGCTGGGAACACCATTTCCAAGGTGTTTTAGCAAAGCTTCTTCAAAAACCTTTCAGTTCAAAGCCAGTCAACACTGAGCTTTGAAAAGGAGAACCAAAAGCTACATGGGAAGTTCAGGCTCCAGAGCTTGGAGCACTCCCTGGCTCCTGCAGCTGCCATGGCCTGGAGAGGGTGGGATTCTTCCCTCCCAGGGCAGAGCTAGACACTTGCAATGCTGTCCTACAGCTTCTAGGAAGAACTCAGCTCTCTCCTCTGGCACAGGAACATTCTCCTAAGCCTCAGCTTAAATCAGGGCTCAGAGGGATTCTACACCACAAGTTGAATCCTTCCAGCCCCTGGCAACAAGAGGAGTGTCACAGCTAGAGGTTCCACAGCAGAGTGCTGAAAACACCAACGCTCACTCCAGAGCTGTCTTGGACTTGGACAAAACTCTATCCCAGAGTGCAGCCCTGGAATGACTGATTTTTCCAACAACACTGAGGCCCACGTGGCTGCCTGGAACTGGAGTAAATGCTTACTAGGGCTGGAAGCCAAGAAACCTGACTGACCTGAACGTGGAGTTTTCACAGATATGGCAGGATACAAGTTTTGCTCCTAATGGAAAACTGCACAAGTTTTCCTGTGACACAGCCATAACAAGCAAGAGGCAGTGAAAGGCTGAACTGACTACCTGCACCACCAAGGGAAGGTGCAATTTCTGCCCTCACAACACAGCATTACTCACTCCACTAAAATAAACTGATTGTATCTGACATAGGCTAATAATTCAGAAGCATTGCCTGGAAAAACACTGCCTGCAAGCTCAGAATGAGCACACACCTCTTAAAAAAACCTCCCCTCCAAGCCCAAGCAGCACTAGCCCATACAGTCAGACACCATTGCACAATGGTAGCTGTGAATAAGCAGAGAAGGAATTCCACCTGCTCAACTAGTAAGCCACCAGCAGCCTGGCTCCATCCAGGGGTGAGGAGGGCAGTGGTAGATTAGGAATTAGGAGGGAGTTCTTCCCTGTGAGGGTGCTGAGGCACTAGAATGGATTTTCCAGAGCAACTGTGGCTGTTCCACCCCTAAAAGTGTTCCAGGCCAGGTTTGGAGCAACCTGAGCTTGTGGAAGGTGTCCCTGCCCATGGCACAGGATGGAACTGGATGAGCTTTGAGTTCCCTTCCAACCCAAACCATTCCAGGATTCTATCCTGCTACAGCCAGTCCAAGGAAGCCTATACCAATGTACCAGAAGTGGCACTTTTTGCAGGAGCAAGAAGAGGGAGTTTTATCCCAATCCTGAGAAGGTCAACAGTAAAGTCACCAGTGATACATGCAGAGACAAGCACCAAACCAAGGCTGAACACTGCATTAGTATCAAACTAGTCACTAAAAGGCAATCAAAATAGCCCAAATATTTGCACCCCAACTAAAGCATACAGGCAACAGGAGTGAACCACCAAGGACCTGTCACGAAACACAGCAAGTTTCTCAAAACCACCTTCAGCTGATGCTGGAGATCACATCTCTGAGACAGCCACAAAGCATAAGGGAGATCCACACCCCTTCTAGACAGGTGATGTTCCAGTTTTAGACAGTTCAAAGGCAACTCACTAGAACTTGGATTCCTTCTTTCTCGATAGGAGCTTGATCGTAAGTGGCATCACAAACTCGCACCAAGGTGGTCACTCCATACTTCTTCAGCTCCTGTAAGAGAAAGGAAAACACATGGGGATAAAACAACTTCCATCAGCCACAAACCCAAACATTTCACACTGAGTCAGGGCACTGGGACCACTGCACAGCTCCAAGGTGACCACCCAAAGAAGAAAGAGCAAAGGCCAAGGTAGAACTGAGGGTTTATGGAGTGTTAGGACAAAGGTTACAAGTGACAGGACAAATGTGAACCACCTCTGAGCTCTTCTGCTCTAAGGAAATGCCGCAGTGGAAACACATTGCATTTAGAAGAGCAAAACTGAAAGAGCTGCTTATATTCCCCAAGCAGCTTCTTCTTCTCCCTAAATAGAAGCCTGGGCCTGTTTGCTTGAGCCAGTGTTGACATTTTGAGGCAGGGAGGAACACACTCCCCACCATATTCCATCTTCCTGGTAATGCACTGTGAGGAGCATGTTGTGCCAGATAAATAATCAGAGGATCAAACAAAAGCTGTTCCAGTTCACTTTGAAGGTTCCTACAACAAGCAGAATTTCCTCTCATGTTTGGGCTGAATCACTATTACATCCTACAATTAGCAATAACATTTATTCCTGAGAAAGGAAGACAATCCACAATTATGAGAGGGGAGGAATGAAGAGAAAAGAATGTGGGTTTGAGAGAACATGAAGCACTAATATCTGAGCAGATTCCTGGTGAAGAGCACACTGCTAAGTGATGGAAGTGTGTCAGACAGCAGTGTGGGATGACAGGATCTCCCTGCAATGAACAAGACCTGGAGACAGCAGATAAAAGTCCTCTAGACACAAGACACAAGGGCACAAAGATACAGCAGGGTTGGAGCACACCAGAATGTGAAATACACTGTGCTACTACTTCTGTGACAGTGCCATCTGCTACTTGTGCAGCAAATTGGATTCTGTTGTATTTGAGAGCTTGGTGTCTCACTAACAGTGTGACCCACTGCCCATCAGGTTTCTCTCTTTCCAAGGAGAAGCCACTTTTCATGGATCAATCCTGGCACCTGAAATCTGATGATTCTGAGACTGGAAGGGCAGGTTGGTCACACATCCTGTGAACTAAAGACATCACTTAAGGATTGCACTGAATCTGCTCTAAGGGAGAAGGAAGTTCAGAAATCAGTTATGACTGTTAGCAACTCTAAGTGCAGCAGAGGAGCAACAGGTGGATGGATCAGAGGCATCACAGAATGAAAAACAGCATTTAGAACCACAGAACATGGACAACAGAATGACAAAACCATGGAATGGTTTGGATTGGAAAGGAACTTAAAGCTCATCCCATTCCAAGGGCAGGGACACCTTCCAGCAGCCCAGATTGCTCCAAGCTCCATCCAACCTGGCCTGGAATACTCCCAGGGATGGAACAGCCACAGCTTCTCTGGGCAACCTGTGCCAGTGCCTCAGCACCTCCCAGGGAGGAATTTCCTGTGCATCTAACCTAAATTTCAGTTTGATCCCATTCTCCTTGTCCAAGGAATACCCTCCTTGATGGCAAGGTGTTTATATTCCAAACTGGAAGCTCATCCAGCTTCTTGCACCTACAGAAATGAATCACTTCAGAACAAACTCACCAGTGGATTTTCTTCTCATACTGTCGAGAAAATGTGAATAACACATTAAAGATCAGAACACCTTAAGTTCCAAGTAACCTACAGACAAAGAGGTGGGAAAAACAAGTGTCCAGGAATGAGGAATGACACTGGATTTGCCTCCTTACCTCTATGAACTTGCTGAGGGTTGCATTGGTTGGGTTGTGAGTGATCAGGAAACGCATACTCTCATAGGTAATTTCCACGGGGGCTGGACGGTTCATAATGGCAAATTAACTGTGGAAGGGGCCAAAAAAAAGAAAACAAACAAAAAGAAATAGAAATTAAAAAAAAATAAATCAATAACCTCAGAAAGGTTTCACAGCAGAAAACATCAAAAAGATCACTAATATTGCCTGGGATTGATCAGAGCTTGTTTGTTCCGTACAGATTTCGCTTCCAGAAGAGCAGGTTTTGCTTCAGGAGCCACTTGAATTCACCTTCGGCCTCAAGTACTGCAGGTGGTATCCTTCAGACTCCAAAAAATTCCCACTATGTGCAGGACTAGGCAGCCTGTTCTACATTTAGGCACTGGTGAGGCAAAAAAGTAAGGGCAGATTTTCTCTCCACTTTGTTTTCTTGATGCTTAGCTTTGCCAGAGTCAGTAAGAGGAATATGCTTCCAATGGGGAGAAGATATCCCATATATTTGAGCGTGTTCACTGTGTCTTCCAAGGAGTCTTCAAGGCAAAGGAATTATGGCACGTGGAAGGCCCTGGGGGCAGCTCACTTGTCAGCCAGGATGCTGTGCTGGGCCTGGCAGAAGTCTGCCCTCACGCTCAGAATCGCCATAAATGTGCGACGTATCCTCCACCAGAACACCTGCAGCCAAGGAAAACAGCAGGTCAGAGGCTGTGGGGCTTCCCTTCCCAGCCATACCAAGCACTGACCCTCCCAGAGAAACCCAAACTCAGCCTGGACACAACTGTGTTCAGAGAACAGACAGATAGAGTCAATCTGCACTGGATTCCTGAGAGTGTAATCCCAAATATTTCCTATATTCTTTCTGGGGCTTGTAAAAAACCAAACTCAATCTGCACTGGATTCCTTAAGAGTTGTGACCCCAAATATTCCCTATATTCAGTCTAGGACTTGCAAAAAAACCAACAAACTGAAGTCAATCTGCACTGGATTCCTTAAGAGTTGTGACCCCAAATATTCCCTATATTCTTCCTGGAGCTTGTAAAAACCCAAAGTCAATAGCACTGGATTCCTGAGAGTTGTGATCCCAAGTATTCCCCATATTCTTTCTGGAGGTTATAAAAAACAAACCGTCAATCTGCACTGGATTCCTTAAGAGTTGTGACCCCAAATATTCCCTATATTCTTTCTGGAGCTTGTTAAAAAAATGAAGACAATCTGCACTGGATTCCTTAAGAGTTGTGACCCCAAATATTCCCTATATTCAGTCTAGGACTCGTAAAAAACCAACAAACTGAAGTCAATAGCACTGGATTCCTGAGAGCTGTGATCCCAAATATTCCCTATATTCTTTCTGGAGCTAGTTAAAAAAATGAAGTCAATCTGCACTGGATTCCTTAAGAGCTGTGATCCCAAATATTCCCTATATTCTTTCTAGAGCTTGTAAAAAACAAAGTCAATCTGCACTGGATTCCTGAGAGTTGTGACCCCAAATATTCCCTATATTCTTTCTGGAGCTTGTAAAAAAGCCAAGTCAACCTGCATTGGATTCCTGAGAGCTGTGATCCCAAATATTCCCTATATTCTTTCTGGAGGTTATAAAAAACAGTCAATCTGAACTGGATTCCTGAGAGTTGTGATCCCAAATATTCTCCCTATTCTTTTAACTGCTGTTCCTGGCACTGGAATCAAGAACAAGGAAACCTTTCTGTGCTCCTCTCCCAACCAGGTGCCTTGGAAAAAGAAATCACAGCACAAAGCCAAGTCCATGCCTGAAATTGTCTGTGGGTCCAATCCTACCTGCCTGGCCCAAGCCCAAACACATGAAAACAGTGTTGATGTGGCTTTATTTCCTGAACAAAACCAGCAACACAAGCAGAAATAAGAGTCTCATAAATTAGATAACATGAGTATAATCAATTTTTCCTGCATTCCACTTTTTTGCTAGCAGATAAATTTCCCCATCATTGTTATGTCATCAAATTCCCAAGAGCAGCAGAGAAATATGCCCTGGAAATCAGTCAATATAAAAGTGGTCATTTAGCAGTAATAACTTCTAGTTATTCCCAATTATTTTAGTTATAACTGTAATAACTTTTATTTATTCTTGGGCTTATCTCTGTTTACAGGCTCAGATTTTAGAGCAGCAGCAGCTTCCAGGCCCAACACACACAGGATACAAAATGCTTCAGCAACAGCAATAAAAGGTGGAACAATGTCATTTTAGCCATGAAATTTAGGGGGATGGAAATGAAACTAACCCAGAATAGCTCAGCTCATTTAAGGCTGAAATAGTAAATAAGCAAAGTGGGTTTGGGGGATGAGGGAAGCAAAAAAAAAAAAAAAACTGCTGAGGCTTCTGTGGGAAGGAAAAGGGTTTAAATGAGTTCAATCAGAAGCTCCAAACCTGGACGGGAGTGGAAAAAGGTCAATGTGGCACACTCAAGTGAGGACAATTAGGGCAAAACACACCCATGGAGTTCACATCCCAAACTTGCGGAACGCTGGAGGTTTTAATGAGATCCTCCCTTTAAAACAGGCAAATTAAATGCAACAAAATTACCTTTTTCACTGACGTGAAGTCAAAAATCACCCAGAGAACAGCAATTATTTCCTTCAAGTAGAGCTTGCAGTGCCAAAAACTATATTAATTAGGTTGCCAGAGGCAAGAACAAAGCTGTTTTCAATCACCTCCCCCGACCTTAACACAGCTCTTGCTCTGACTGAAATACAAATTTCCACAATGAATCCTGGAATATTTTATCAGTGTTTTGCCTGCAGGATCAAGTCTCACCCCAGATGGAAGAGTCCCATCATCTCAACACATCAAACTCAAGGCCAATTCTTGCACATTTGCCCCAAGTCTCTCCTGTCTAGCCCAGCAGCTCAAAGCAGAGGGTTTGCTGAGGTGGTATCCCAGGAAGAGTCAGAGCATCCACCTGTCCAAAACCTGGTGCAAGAAAGTCTGTTTTCAGGTAAATCCTGCCCTGTTTCCCCTGTGTGAACACTCACTGCAGCCACATCCTGAGGACTGACCTGCAGACCTAGGAACAGCTTCAACACTCATTCCTGGGGACCTAAGAAGGTCAGAGAATCACAGAATCAACCAGATTTAAGAAACAGAACGTGTCATCTTCATGTGTCCTAAGTCAGAAATGGCAGAGGGAGTCAGCACTCCAGTCCTGCTCAGATCTGCAGCTCCTCATGGTCTGACCTTGGCCAAGCCACTTGCAGTGGCTCAGCTCCTCCACAGAACAGGAATGACACCACCTTCCCTTCCCCTAAGGAATATTACCGAAGCATTTAATTAGCTAATAGCTAAGGGGTGATTAAAAATGTAAAGCACTGTATTTAAGTCTGAAAAAAAAAAAAATGACTTCCAGAAGGATAAGAAGTTTATGTAGCACACAAGTTTGGTTCCTGACACATATCCCTTCCTCCCCTGCTTTCCAGCTGCTGAGTGAAGTTTAGAAAGAAAAACCAAGTTTCTAATGAAGTAAATTAAAAACAGGGAAAACTCTATTGTCTACAACTTCTGATCTCCCCAAGTAAATACTTGAACATTTCTTCCTCCCTCTGTTAGCCAAGCAAATTTGCACTTCAGAACCCCAAGAGAACGGAGTGAAGACAATAAATCGTAACCAGGTCTGTGGACGGCAAGAAAACAAGGAATAATTTCTTCAGCTGATTAACCTTTAACTTTTTATACTCAGAAAGTGAGACAGAACATGGAGAGAAACCAAACAATGACAACATGTTTTACGTAGGTCCCTCAGGGAGGGAGCAAAGTGTCCAGCACTGCTGGGAGTGAGGTGTAACAGCTCCATCCAGAACCAGAGCAGGAGGAGGAGGAAAAGCAGAGCCACAGGACAAACAGCCAAGCAATAAACATTTATGGATCAAAAAGGAACTAGATATGCCTGGGAGTCAGCTCCTGATGGTGTTTAACTGGGTTATCAGGGAACAGGCATCAATCAAGATGTTTATCTGTACAAGTAGGTGTAGTGAGCTGGGACAGTCCCTGCACCCACAGATGGATTCACTGGAGTTGGAACTACATCCACAGAGAGATCCCACGAGCACAGAGCTCCCAGGAAATTCACACAGCCACCGAGAGCCTGAGTGAGCCTAAGAGCCCAATCTGAGCAGACAAAACAGCAGGAAGGTGCAGGAATATGCTGAAAGCATAAGCAAGGGGCAGTCACAGGAACCAGCACAAACAAATCAGGGTGACAACTAATTAAGAGAACGGTGAAATGAATTCCTGACTTGACAGAAGCTTCACTCGAGAGTGCTGTGAGCAAAAAAAGCCAACACACCCACGGGATTCATCTCCAGTGGCTGTTGTTGCACTGACTCCTGAATTTGAGCCTTCAACGGGGGCAGTCAGACACTGCCCTGAGCCCACACAAGTGCAGGGTCTAAGGAAAACCAAGGAATGACATCGTGAGGAATTCCCAGTTCCCCCAGCTCCTTCCAAACACACTGGTGACACTGTGCCTTGGCTACACAAACAGCTTGCAACAGCTGCAGCTTCCAGGGATTGCAAAACACGGATACCCCTGGAAAGGTCACTTGGATCCCCTTTCCAAATACCTCAGGGCACAGGATGCACAGCAGAGCCTGATAATTTGTCACCCAGAATTAAAGGAATACTTTGGTGTTTTAAAGTATTTTTGGTGTTTTCCAACAGAAACGACTGATTTTGTTCCTGTGAGTGGGAATCCATGTTCAGTGTTAAGGAAGGGCATGGGCTAAAGAGTTTTCCTCTTTTCCCTCTTCTCTAAAACCTCAATCTGGTGGTTTGCATTTCCACAGGTGAAATGAGCAACATGAGTGGGTATTATGCTGACATCAGGCTGCAGCCCTGCCAGGTTTTCCTGACATCAGGTTCCACTTTCCCCACTGAGTGCCCCACACTCCATCCTCACACTTCCAAAATGTCAATGCTTCACCTGGAACAAGAGGAAGACTCCAGAGACCTCCAAAATGAGCCATAAAGCAAGAACCAAAGAACCACCTTTTCTAGCAAGAACCAAAGAAACATCTTGCAGAAAAGATCCTCTCCTAACACACAGAGAAAA